AGATCAACATATGTGGTGACAAATGACAAATTTATTTTCCTACAGAGTTTGTGTATATGTAAAACTGCTGAAGTGCATCAAGATGTCAAGTGGTTTTTGTGGCCACCCAGGTTGCCTTGAAAGGGAACCAGATGAAAATATCGCTTTAAGCACTGGACAGAGCACTGAACTTTGCATGCTACACTATCAACCAGAATTGGGTTTTCCATATCAATAAGACCCCAATAACAACTCTATCTATTCTAAGAGTGGATAAGAGAATTATCTACCGTAAACTACCCCCCCCCAATCAGAATTCCCATGACCAATCAAATTTAGTGTTCTTTTTAATAGAGTGATTTCTTTATTAATCAAAGTACTATTCTGAGATTGGATTACTATTTATGGAACTAAAAATGGATGGACTGTAAAATATAATTACTTTAAAAATATTTGTTTTATAACAAATATTTGTTTTATTTGTTGTAATATAAATATTAGGAAGGAAGAAGAAGTAGGATTGTTGTAAAATAAGATGGGTNGTTGTTGGGGGCAATATGCTGACTCTGTAAACCGCTTAGAGAGGGCTGAAAGCCCTATGAAGTGGTATATAAGTCTAACTGCTATTGCTATTGCTATTCTCCCACCCATTTAGGGCCCATTTACTATACAAGTAATCCTCGACTTACTACAGTTCATTTAGTGACTGTTCAAAGTTACGTCACTGAAAAGAGTGTGAAAAATGACAATTTTCACACTTATGACCATTGCAGCATCCCCATGGTCACATGATCAAAATTCCAATGGTTGGCAATTGATTCACATTTATGACGGTTGCAGTGTCCCGGAGTCATATGACTAACTTTTGCAATCATCTCACAAGCAAATGGGTAAACCAGTTTCACTTAACAACTGTGTTAATAATTTACCAACTGCAGTGATTCACTTAAGAACTGTGGCAAGAAGAATCATAAAATGGGACAAAACTCACTCAACAAATGTTTCACTTAGCAATAGAAAGTTTGGGTTCAATTGTGCTCATAAATTGAGGACTACCTGTATTTCAGAATAATGTCTATGCTTATTAATTAAATATGTAATGGCCTAGTTTATGTATCATTTTTGTTTGCCAGTTATCAAAAGTAGGATACTCCATTGATGTGAATTGATGGCAAGACAGATATGTACAAAACCAGATTATTATTAAATATCTACAGCGGTGTTAGTGTAGTCCTAGGACTTCTAGGGATCCATCAAGGCCTTCCCAGAGGTCTATGAAATCAAAATTATTTCACAGCAATGTTGAAAAATAATGCAATATTACAATAACATCAAACAGTTGTGTGAAATAGTGGTAGGCAGCAAATGAATCAATTATAATTTTAATACAATAAATATTGATTAAAAATGCTCCTTTGTGGTCTTTAATTTTTAAAAGTGGGAAAGGGTCCTAAGAGAAGAAAGTTTAAGAAAAATAGATCTAGACTATTTTATACTTCCCGCTATGCAAAGAGCACAATGGTTTGACGGTCTGAATCTCTTTTTGTGGACATTGTGCTTACTAATAAGGAGCAGCTAGTTAATTATGTGCTATCAGATTGTTACCAATTCCTATGGACACAAAGATAGATTTCGTCCATGATGATTCCTAACTTGCTTTTTCCAATCTTCTAACAGTGCACTCATCACCACTGTGTTTGAGTCAATCTATCTGGCTGCTGGTTGTGCTCTTCTTTTCTTTCCTTCCAACGGTCTTAGCACTGGAGCCTTCATTTTTAGCTCTATTGAGAAATCTGGGTAGATTTGTTTGAGGATCCATTTGTATTCTTGGCTATCCACAATATTTTCAGGAAACCTCTCCAATACCAAAGTTCCAAAACATCAATGCTCTTTTCATTCCACTTGTTCAAAATCAACTTTTGCTTTTAAGAGATGACTTGCTTAACAATTGTATTACTTAGCAACCAAAATTCAAGTACCCATTGTGGTTCTAAGTGGTATCTGTATTACAAGATCCATAAATATTCTTTGCTACCTTCATCCTCAGTTACCTTTTAAAGAATGTTCTGCAGGTATACTGTAAATCAGTTAAATGTTTTGATGAATCTTGTTGCTCATGACCTTCAACATACTTTTAAATTAGTTTTTCAAACTAATAATAGTTATACACAAACTTTCAATCATTTATGGTCAATGGACCTCATAATAAATATATTATTTAACAATCCAATTTATAATGTAAGGTCAGTGGGAGAAATAGAAATATGAACAATTTGTGATATTTGCCAGTTTGGATAAAAATCCAAGCTGGATGAACTTACAGGTAGTCTTCAACTTACATCTCTATTTGAGCCTCAAATTTCTGTTGTTAAGTGAAACATTTGTTAAGTGAATTTTGCCCCATTTCATGACCTTCCTTGCCTAAGTTGTTAAGTGAATCACTGCAGTTGTTAAGTGAATCTGACTTCCTTATTGACTTTGCTTGTGAGAAGGCTGCAAAAGGTGATCACATAACCTTAGGACACAGCAACAGTCATAAATATGAACCAACTGCCAAACATTTGATTACATGATATTGGGCAGGCTGCAAAGATTATAACTCTAAAAATGGTCATAATAATTTTTCAGTGCCATTGTAACTTTGAACTGTCACTAAATAAACTGTTGTAAGTTGAGGATTACCTATATAGGTATGAGGTCATAATGATAACATCATATTTGAAATGCAGTTTTTTTCCAGGATAGAAAATGCAAGTTTTATGACATCATACAAAGAAACAGGTTAAAATATTATCTGTTCTGTATGCCTAAGAATTTATGATTATTGTAGTAGTTTCCACTTCAATATATTTTGAGGATGGTTTTCTACTGCAGCTTCAACTTAGTTATTCTAAGCTTCAAACCACCTAGAACTGATATCAGATTGGTTTTCAGTTAACTTGATCTTTTTCAGCAGCCCAGAATGTTATTTTTCCTCCGAATACTGGCTGCATAGCTGAGGATTTTTTGTTGTTAAATCAACTTCCATATCTGTACACTAAAGTTAATATGCACATAAACAAGTTCATGAAGCATGTTCTTATCTTCTGTGTATATGATGGTGTATATAAATCCAGTATAATTTGCTGCTATACCATATCTATTAGTTGCTCTTTTGTGTGTCTCTAGTATGTGCTTATGTCAGACCTAAGGAAGGCAAGCCGACATCCAAATTGAGTAAAAGGCTAGAGAAGTGGTTTTCCCCCCCTTAATTAAAGAAATATCTTAGAGGAGCTATGATTTCATATATACTTTAGAAAGTTTAAAGGTAAAGGTTCCCTTTGCACATATGTCCTAGTTGTTCCCAACTGTAGGGGCGGTGCTCATCTCCATTTCAAAGCCGAAGAGCCAGTGCTGTCTGAAGACATTTCTGTGGGCATGTGGCCGGCATGATTAAATGCTGAAAGCGCATGGAGCACTGTTACCTTCCCACCAAAGGTGGCTCCTATTTTTTTCTACTTTCATTTTTACATGCTTTTGAACTGCTAGGTTGGCAGAAACTGGGACAAGTAATGGGAGCTCACTCCATTACGCGGCACTAGGGATTTGAACCACTGAACTGCTGACCTTTCTTAGCCACTGAGCCACGGCATCCCACCATTAGAAAGTTTAATAAACAATTATTAGAACCACAAAATAACATAAAATTAAACAAAATAAACTGCCATAATTTACACATTATAATAGTTATATGATCTTACAAGTGTATCAGTACTTGCCTTGTATAAAAGTTAACTTCACAATCTCTACCTATGACTACTTTTATCAATTGTGTAACTTGACCTTGTGAACTTTAAATTGATTAATTATATAAGTGTAATAGTGGTATCCTGTTTACTTTAGTTCTGTTAGAATAATGCAGTAAATTTGCATCATCATTACTAGAGATATATTTGGATTAATACAAACAAATAAATATAAAGAAAAATTGTATGGTCTCTATATATATTGTGTATTTGTCAGTCCACAGTATCTTTAAAAAGATAAGAGAAGAATTTTTGCCAAGGTTTAGGTGTAAAATACTGGCTAAAGTTTAGCATATAGTAAAAATACTGTCTTGGAATGTATTTGGGCAAGCATAATACAGTATACTATATTATTATATTAAATGTAATTACTTTTCAGTATTACAGTAATTAGTAGCATAAATGCAAATTATCCTTTTATTGTTTGTGGTTTTTTCTTCAATTATCTCGAATTAGTAGGATGTAATTTTCACATATTTACAGTACCTTTATTTCAGTGAAAACAAAACATACATTATGGAATTATAACCTAACAACTTATCCAGACATAAACAGCAACAGCACTTTTTGTTGTATTGCTAAATGCTAGTAAAAAAAGATATGCACACCACAGCTTCAATTTTGTGTTCTGTTTACACACAAAGAATTAGGAAAAGACAAGCCAGAGCTTTGTTACTTATTACATGAATAATTTAGCTTCATTATTCTACGTATTATTTGTGCTGATGCTAGAGTGAGAATTGCATCAGCACCTTTCCACAACCTGGTCTTCATCTACTAAAGCTTTCTAGTTCTTTTGTTAACAGTTTTACTCTGTCATGGGAGTGAGTGAAACCATGTGTAACAGGTATGCATATCAAATAGCCATTCTCAGGAAGAGCCAACCTATGCAATATGGGGAAGACCAACTTGGAATCATATGCAAACTATTATGCTTCAAATCAGGTTTCACAGAGCCAAATATGAGCTAGATGAGAGAAATTACTTGTATAGGGTATAATTGAATGTTTAAACATAAGCTATATTTTAAGCTATATTTTAATACCTGTGTGATATCATATATGATTATATTTTTATTATTTGATCATCAGAATTGCAACAATGACTTTTTTTTGTACATACAATAGATTTAACAAATAACAATCTTGGTTAAATTAGCATAGCTTTTTACATTAGATTGCAGTGTGCTTTGCAGGATACAAAAAAGCTTATATGTTTCTGGTTTGTGGCTTACAGATCTTTTCTGTTACCAACAACACAGAATGTGTGAAGCTGCTGCAGGAGATCAGATGTGCTCACTGTTCACCGAATGCTCAGAATCTGTTCCACTCAACTGTGAAGGAAGCATTGGAAAGAGAACTAGCCCTTCCTTTCCTGTGCAAGGATTATTGCAAGGAATTCTATTACACTTGCAGAGGTCACATCCCAGGTAAAAATTGCAAAGAATAATAAATTAAGGTGATATATAGCTACTGTGACCACATGTCCTTTATTATAAAGAACAGTCTTTTACTTCAGAAAGTTCTACTTTAAATGTATTTATTTTTCTAAAACTCCTTTATTTTGACATTTAACTTTCTCTGTACAAATGAAACCACTTAATGCAGTCTTTCACATTCATGTGAAAAATATGGTAATTGAATTATTTTAAAATGTACTGTTTGATTTTAGATATTTTTATTAGACTATGTGAATTTGTAGTTTTTCTTAATTCTGCTGTTTATAAAGCCAAGTTATCAACATAAACCTTTTTTAAAAATTCTTATAAGGACCTTTAAGATTTTCAAATTTTCAAATTTGTCCTTTATATTTTTCAAGAAAAAATGGTCACCATGTTTACTTAAATTTCGTATACATTGTAAAAAAAACTATTGATGTAATACTCATGTTCCCTATCGAGAAAGTACTGATTGTGATTATAAAATGTTACCTAGATCTGTGTTTCTTAATCAAGGATGCATATATTTTGAGCAGTTTAGTGGAACATAAAGCTTTAGACCAGTTTATTTGAGAGGGTGTATTTCCCATGGTTTATGCCTAACTGATATTGGGTAGGACAAGAAAATTGGTATGGTCTCTTTAAATAATGCCATCTCTGAGAACCCATGAAATATGCCATCTCAGCCAAGGCAGCTGTCATTAGAAGGTGAACCCTCCTGAGAGCCATGTAGCTTATTCATGGCATTCTAGAGGATCTTAAAAGACTTGGTTGTTCTCTCAGGTCTTGTGAGTAGGGTGAATGGAGCCACTTCTGGGTGGATTTTGTAAATGTTTTCCTGTTTGAAGTTACTTACATTCTTATAGGCCAGTGTTTCTACTGAAATAATTAACATCTTGGTCATTAGTCCACCACTAAGATTTGTTATGTTATCAGTCTGATGATATTTCCTCTGGAGGATTCCAGATGGCTTCCTTCAACTATTATTATTTTTTTAACTTAAACATTTTGGAGAGTTTCTAACACATAATTTTGTTATATAAGCAATTTTTAATCTGAGTATTGTATTTATGTTTTATATTGGTTTTGACAGCCTTTATACTCATTTTCAGATTTGTTTAGAAATGATGTATTACCACTGATTTTTAATACTGAAATTAAAATATTGCTTAAGAGAAGGTTTAGATCTTAGATAATGTCTTGCAATAAGAAATAGAAGAACTGAGGTACCATAAGAAGAAGAAGAAGTGAAGTGAACATGAAACAGGAGGGGAAAAAAGATTGTTAAGTTCAAACGTGGATCAGAGGAATGATAAACAAAGTCTATCCCAAAAGATTAAATTATAATGTTATAATAATCTGGATGCAAATATGAATTATAATACTAAATGGCTTGTAAACATATTTCAAAAGTTTATCCTTATAAAAGAGATGATTTGGTAGTGATGCAAGAAGGCTAAATCAAACTTTCAACTGATTTATAGTTCTTGGAGAAATTCCATGGTATTGTTAAACACATCAGATAAACAGAGGCTTTTGATAAATACAAAAGACCACAACATTGTAAATGAGATTCTTTATGCACTATAAAACAGAAAAGAGAATTTATTCCATCCAAATCTATGTTGGATGATCACATAGGATCATAATCCAGAGGAATTTAGGGCAGTTAATTTTTCCAACCTCAATGGGTTTTAGGAATACTCTATCCCTTTCTCTAATGGCAGAAAGTGAAGAGGAATTAAAGAGCCTCTTGATGCGGGTAAAGAAGGAGAGTGAAAAAGTTGGCTTGAAATGCAACATTAAGAAAACTAAGATCATTGGATCCGGCTCTCTCAATTCCTGACAAATAGATGGGGAAGAAATTGAGGTAGTGACGGATTTACTTTCCTGAGCTCTAAGATCTCCGCAGATGGGACTGGGAGGAAAGCTATGGCAAATCTAGAGACCATACTAAAAAGCAGAGACATCACCCTACCAACAAAAGTGTGTATAGTTGAGGCTATGGTGTTCCCAGTTGCAATGGACGGCTGTGAAAGCTGGACCATAAGAAAGGCTGAGTGCTAAAGAATTGAGACCTTTGAACTAGGGTACTGGAGAAGACTCCTGCAAATAGGAAAGAAAACGGTAAGTGAGCACCTGTCTACCCTAGATGAGTTCAAATCACCAGGACCGGATGGATTACACCCCAGGGTTCTGAAGGAGATCTCAGAACTACTAAACTATATCTTTCAGAGATCCTGGGGCACCAGGGAACTGCCAGAGGACTGAAAAATAGCTGATGTGATTCCCATCTTTAAAAAAGGAAAAAATAAATAAATCCAGGAAACTACAGACCTATCAGCTTGACCTCAATACCAGGAAAGATTCTGGAAAAGAAAATCAAGCAA